AAGACCGAAGGTAGTATTTTATACTACCTCCGGTCCTAATTATAAGAGCCGGTTGGCTAATTTGAGGGGATTAAGGAATTAAGTTGAGTTAGTTATTTGTCTTAAATAGGTATTGTCTTTCCTAAAATATCTTTGTTAATCAAGTATATTGACTAGAACTATCATTATTAGAAGGGCTACTCTGAAAAACAATATATAAATATGAGAGACAAAGTGGATTGAGGTCTTATATTTAAGACAAAAAAAAGTCAAACAGGGTCTTATATTAAGGACCGGAGGTAGTACTACTTCTAATCTTAAATATAATAGCTAGTTGACTAATTTAAGGAGATTAAAAAAATAAATTAAGTTAGTTATTTATAATAAATAGATATTGTTTTTCCTGAAATAACTTTGTTAATTAGGTGTCTTGGCTAGAACTACTGTTGTTTAAAGGACTAGCTTGGAAAAAAGTACAAATATAAGAAACAAAGTAAATCGGGGTCTTATATTTAGGACTAAAATAAAAATTAAACGAGATCTTATATCAAGTACCGGAGATAGTATATTGGATTTATTCATTTCCCTGTGTTTTCTGAAATCAAACATGCCTTACTTTTAATTTGTCCTGATGTCGGTTGAATAAATATGCATGCATAACAAGACAAGAAATAATTAGGGTGCTGAGAACTCGCTAATAATGCTTGTGAGTTATATCATGTGATCCAGCTCGGTTGAAAGCTCTGCTTCAACTTGTTTTGTCCGGTAAGAACAATAAGACGCAAGTTTTATTAAACTATTTTCACGATTTTATATCGAGATCGATGATGTTGAAGATATATGCATGGTTTCTTTTGTTTTACTGCAATCTAACAAAGAAGATCCAGTAACGTAACTTTTTCTAAAGCAGCAACATTTGACTTCGAATTCAAAAAATGGTTTAGCTAGTCCAGTACCAGTGATTTCTCCACCCAACTAAACGTGTGTTATGAGCATTGCACATTGTTTGAGATAAATTTGTTGACAAGTAATTTCTTGTAGATCACACACACACACACACACACACGTATATGTTCCTTGTAATGCTTATAGTGATAAGGATGCTGCTGTTCAGTGTCCACATAGCCTTTAATGTATGGAAATGAAATAAAAATGTGACGAGATATCTCTGGTACCGTCACTCATTCAAAGTAAAGATATGGCATATGATATAATTGGGTTCATTATTTACTCCGAAGAAAAGAATCATGCCGGCTGAAGTGGGAATTAATTAACATATTTATACTTTAACAGCTGGTATATTTATATTCTCATGAGTAAAAGTCTCTGCGGAGAAATCTTATCTTCACGGGCACAGAAGGCAATATCCTTAAACAGTTGCCATATCCCGAAAGACTTCATAAGGTGAGTTTGATAACATGTGATATGAAGTAAAGCGCACGACCGAGAACATGAGATGCGTTAGAATAACATTTAAGATTAATTAATTATCTTGTTGGATCGACAAAGCAAAAAAAAAGATTAATGTTCTCGAAGCACTCGCGAAGAACAGTAATAGAGAGAACATATGCGAGAGATTCAACAATTTGAAGCTGTCATTTTCCACAATTTAAGCTAGCAAGCACCATTGGTTATATTATTATTGCAGTCCAGCTGTTTTCTTTTGGGTTTGCTTAGTTAATCAATAATCAAGGTGAGGAAAACCCGATCCACTGAATGAAATGCGAGGCACGCATTGCCAAGTTCTTAACACATAATCCAAATACTACCTCCAGTTTTTAATATATAATCTTATTTGATTTTTATTTTGACCTTAAATATAAAATTTCAATTTATTTTGTCTCTCATATTTATTTATTTTTTTCAAAAGTAGTCTTTCTAATAATAATATATAGTTCTAGCCAATATACTTGATTAGTAATGATATTTTAAGAAAAACAGCACTTATTTATTATAAATAACTAATTTAACTTATTTTTTAATCTACTCAAATTAGTCAACTAGTTCTTATATTTAAGATCAAGGTGGTAATTAATTAAGAATGATTAATAATATCACGAGAAATTTAGAGAGACAGGACGATCGAGTTCGAACTCTGTTCAAACGAATATATTTGTGTCGGGAGCTGAATTGGATTTGGACTCCCCACCTATGATTCCGTGCATGCATGTATCCAATTTCATCATCACAGACAAAAATGGGGCACCCAATGCTATAACATTCCCTGGAAACAAATGGCATCATATTTTATTTATAATGATTTACAGGGTCACAATAATAAAATACAGTCACTTGGCGAAGAGAGTGACAACTTTTAAGCGTAATGTGTGGTCCACATTATTCGATCACCAGATAGAGAAGAAAATATGTAAAAATAAGCCGGTCTTATTTGCTACGAAACATTGAAAATAAGAAATATAAACTATGATTGCAATTGAAAAAAACCATTAAAATTTTTTTTAACATGAGTAATTGCTTGTTATATATGATTAGGTAAACTCATGGAGATAGGATTGAGAAATACTACTTTCCCCTATGATGTTTCTCAATCCCATATATATGGATTTGTCTGATTCTATACAACAAACAATCTCTTATATTAAACACTCTTTTAATAGATTTGCTCAATCCCAATTCTAATCTTTATCTCTTATTTTTAATGTTTTGTACCAAACGGTATCTTGATTCATGGAATAGCTTAAAGATGAGTCATTTGATGTTTTAAATTAAAAATAATCAAAAGTAGTACTTGGTATTCATTTGATCATTTCATGGTATAATACTGTAATTAATCCACATGCTGTGGCAATGGCGTATAGCATAGAACCAATCATCATGCCACAACAAACAAACATACCAAAAGTCTTGGCGTATGTGGATCCATGGGCATTAACGTAATTGCCTATTTTTAACAAAATTTAAGGGGTTTATAATTAGATATTTTGAAGGGAAAGGTGGGGGTGGCACAGGGAACCAGTCATGAGTGAGTGAGAAACAGTGAAATGATGCAAAAGGATGGGAAGGGAGGCCATGCCCGGTTGCAAAAGCTGGTTTTGGAGGAAGGCACATACCACAGACAAAGTCGGGCCCCATGTCTATTGCTATACTTTTTGTTTCTATTGTCTAATGAATCAATCCATTACTAACATTAAAAAAAAAAAAAGCTGATTTTTGGGTTCAATTAGTCAAAAGTTGCAGACCTACATTTTTGGCCTTTTCTCATACCTTTTATTTAGTACTCTTTCGGTTTTAAATATAAGACTCAATTATTAAATTGATTTTGGTTTTAAATATAAGACTCATTTATCATATTTATCAATTTTTTCTAAATTACTCATATGAATACTCCTTCAACCATAATCAAGTAAAAGAAGGAGATGAGGTGTTAAAAAAATATGATTATGATATTTTAGGAAAAATATGTCATATTTCTTATAATTATTTAATTTATTTAACTTTGTTAATCTAATCAAATTAGTTAAATATGTTTTATATTAAAAATTTTTATCGTAAACCAATCTTTTCGCTTTAATTTCGGGGGGATCAAAGACACAGGAAGACATCCCGCAGATTGCAATCTCTGAAAAGAGCTTTAGAATAAATAAATTATATATCAGGTGGGTGACCGCCACTACTGCAGCATCAAGGATCAAAGTACTTGGTCATGAGTGATGAGATAAATTTGCTCTGCAGATGTGAAGGAAAAAGGAAAGAACGCAAGTCTAGGCAGTGATTTAGTCGGTGTCTTTGATTAAGCCATGGTTTTCGTGATGTTTGGATCATTGACTGGGTGATTAGATTAGATATTTAGTTTAGACATGATATTGAAATCGAATCAGAAGGCAGCCTGGTAATAATAAATAGAAAATCTTGAGAAACTCCAATGCAAGTACCCTCCTGCGCGTTCGTTGGTGGGTTATTGTTTCCCATTGGCCATTAGGCCCCATCGTGAAAGAGACGTCTCCCTAAATTCTAGATTACACCTCGCCGTCCCTAACACGCGCACGCCTTTTTCTACGGTTTTTACTAGCAGTGTGCCATGTAGGAGCCGAAAGTCTTAGTTTTCATTTAGTACCTGTCTTGGCAGTCAAAAGGGCCTTTGAAAATGGTAGGTTATTATTACCACCGATGGGAAAGAGCCTGTTATTTCGTTTGTTCGGCCATAAAAGTAGCACTCATTTATGTGCGCCGATTATTGGGTGAAAAATTGATTCTGCCGAAACCAGACTCGAGACATTACTTTTTTTGTAGCCTTCTGAAAACGGTACCGTGTGAAGATTAAACATGGGCATATATTCGAAATGACAAAACAATGTGGTTATGTCATGTACAATGGAGGGTTAATGTCAGGTCCCTCCCGAAATAATGATAACGGAAATGGGAGATAGAGGCGCGGAGCAAAGGGACCCCAAATCAGCAAATAATTATCGAGACGCATGGATGATTGGTGACTTGGTGTCTCCATGCCCATTACCAGCAGGCAAAGCTAGGCTGTCTCGCTGTCGTCATGCCAACATAAGTACATCCCTACAGTACCATATCGATTTAGCACTTTGTCCTTTTCCCTTGCCGTAGTTCTACTTGCCCCATGCTCACGGCCACCCACCCCCAAAAAAAAAAAACAGCAAATATTCACTTACTCTTAATATTTAACCAGATAAGTACTTTACTCTATAATCTACTACCCCCCCCCCCCAACAGGACCAGTATAATTTAGTTGCTCAGAGTGTTTACGTTGAATAGGCCCTCCTCCCTGCAAATGCCTATTACTATTGAAAGGGCCCAAAAGCAATCAGATAACACCACTGGAGGTTTTCCCCTTTTGAATCTTGTTCTGATAGGCCCAAATTAACACTTGGGTGTGTCAGGCCCAGATCCAAACTCATATAGCAAATTGTTAGCCCAATCTTTATCAGTGGGCTCATTTTAAAAAAGCGCAGTGTCGCTGGTGCTCTTCCCGGCTCGGTTAATTGCCAATAAAACCCAAATAAAATCAATCCCCACATAAAGTTGGGGTTTATGCGTCGCGCATACCAGGTTCGGAACAGAAGTACGATTGCCGACTCTCGGCTTGCTCTGAACTGAGGAATTCGCCGCCGTCACCATGGTTTGCTCTTCACCTTCATCATGCAGCCTTCATGGCTCGAAAATCTCATGCGTCTACTGATTCCTTATTTCATGTTCCGTTCTTTCTTCATTTTTTTTTTATTATTATAGCCACAAGGGGATTATATCGAACTCCATAGAAAGCGTCATGGCTATCGTCTCGACCACTTCGAGCGAAAGCGCAAGAAAGAGGCTCGTGAGGTTCACAAGCGCTCTGCCATCGCCCAGAAGGTCGTATTCTTTTCCCCCATTCTCTCGTTGAGATTTCAACTACCTTCTTCTTCTTACCAGCTTTAGTTGTATCTCCATTATTCTTACTGCCTTCTATTAATTCGCGTGGAACAGACTCTGGGTATCAAGGGCAAGATGATTGCCAAGAAAAATTATGCCGAAAAGGCTCAGATGAAGAAGACGTGAGTTATTACTTCGAGTTGATTCAGTTTTCACTCTTAATTCTTGTCTTTTCATATTAATTTTAAATACGATGTGGAACTGATTGAAATAATATGTCAGTCAACGTTTAATTGTGTTTATATTTTGCATTGATCAACCAAATGTGTTTTTAACCCTCATAACTTTATTCTTTTGGCTAGAAGTGTTATTTCACGGCTGAATGCTGCCTTTCTCTACTCCCCTCTCCCAACCCTCTCCTTCATTGTGACTGACTTGCATTTTTAGAATTCTGTTGGTTTCTTTTCGGGTATGTCTGGTAATTGGAAGGAATAGTGAAGGAAAGAGTATGGTGGTTTAGTATGTAAACTCCCTAATTTCAAGTAATTGGGAACTTAATTATAAACATTTGAATATGATCTGTGTGAACATTTGAAAATTCATGCCTTGTTATGGGTGATAGCTTATCAGAGGTGGGTCTTGTAACGTTTTCACAGATGATATGCCATGCCTGCGGGGTGTGTGTATACTACAACAAGTTTTGGTTGATGTATTTATTTGGTTCTTGAGTGCTTTTATTATTTCAGAATAATTGGTTAATTTTAGACTGTTAGTGTAGTTCTATTTCACCAATTTCCCCGCTATTTTGAAATTCCGGAGTAATAGATTCACCATCATTGATCAACAGTTTGGCCATGCATGAAGAGTCAACATCCAGGCGCAAGGTTGATGATGATGTCCATGATGGGGCAGTTCCTGCATATCTTCTTGATCGTGAGAATACAACCAGAGCGAAAGTTTGTCTTTCCACATTCTGTATCGAAAAGATTGATCTGATTCCTCTGAATTCTATGTAAAGTGAACTAACACTTTTTTTAATAATATAAAAAATAATTAGGTTCTTAGCAACACCATTAAGCAGAAAAGGAAGGAGAAGGCTGGAAAATGGGATGTTCCTCTACCTAAGGTAAAATTGCACCCAATCTTGTGCTCCAAAATGTAAAACGATTGTTTTTATTTTGCTTCTAAGCCCATGTGGTGGGTAACTTGCTTGAGTGTGTTGGGGATAAGGGCTTTAATGCAATTTTTTGGTTTAGGTGCGTCCAGTGGCTGAAGATGAGATGTTCAAAGTGGTCAGGTCTGGCAAAAGAAAGAGTAAGTCATATGCCTTGATGGTCTCTTTATGATTAAGTTGTTTATTTTGATAATAATTGGCATAAATTCCTAACTCTGAAACATATGGTACCGGTTGCTGGCTGGTGCAATACATTAAACAGGGTATATAGAAGTTATTTACTTTTTGGTTTTTTTTTTTGGGGGGGGGGTCCTTAAATATTAAGACATTATTTTGAACTGTGATAGTATTTTTCATATTGTCTACTCATTGTTGGCTTAACTTGTCCTTGTTCTCTGTGTGCGTGTGTGGATAAAGTGTTCTTGCCCTTTATTAGCTTGATTATGTATGAAGCCAAGTGATCTCCATCTGTAGCTTGAATCGATTTAGGTGCTTGAGCCCTGAAGTTCTTCCTTTTGCTGTGGCTAATTTTTTTTTTTTTGGGGGACTGATCACTGAAATTGAAGCTGTGGCTAACATTATATGCTAATTCTTGAGCTTGGGTTTCGTGATCTTCAAGGGTCCTGTTACTGCTGAATGTAGTCTACGTCCATGATCTTTGGTCTTTTGATGCATTTCGTTTTCAAGAAACGAAGTCGTGTTATATGATTATATTAAACAGGATATGTAATGATGTATTCCCATGCTAGAATTGCACATGATAAATGATAACCTACCATTTTGCAGCTAAACAATGGAAGAGGATGGTCACAAAAGCTACATTTGTTGGGCCTGGTTTTACCAGAAAACCTCCAAAATATGAGCGTTTCATACGACCTACGGGATTGCGGTTTACTAAAGCTCACGTGACGCATCCAGAACTGAAATGCACCTTCAATCTAGAGATAATTGGAGTGAAGAAAAATCCAAATGGTCCTATGTACACCTCTCTTGGTGTCATGACCAAGGGAACCATCATTGAGGTAAATCTCCTGATCTACTTGGAGGTTTCTTTTCAATCTAATGGGGTTCTGATGGGATTAAGCTGTCTCATGACATCCCATCTTGCCATTTTGTTTATCGATCTGCTTCCACTGGGCAATGGTATTGTAAGGGTTTCGAGAAACTGAGAATGACAGTGTTACTAAATTTTATTGGTCAATTTGAATTTCAGGTGAATGTCAGTGAACTTGGTCTGGTCACCCCTGCTGGGAAAGTTGTATGGGGTATGATTATCAGCCTAACCCACGTGTTTTTTAACCACTCGCGGATAATTTGACTAATGTGCTGGTTGTATTTGTGATAATCCAGGTAAATATGCCCAGGTGACAAACAACCCAGAAAATGACGGCTGTATAAATGCAGTTTTGCTTGTTTGAGCTGGAAGCAAGGATTTGAGTGCTGACTTGATCTCTATGCCCGTGCTGGCTCTGCTATTGGCTGACTCATGCACCACTATATTTCATTTCATCTTCGTGTAAACTGTTTTGTAATCTCTGCCGGCGCCTGCATATTTAGAATGAGGAAACTGGGGAACTATTAAAATTTTTGACCCAACAGTGGCAGTTGTCTGATTATACTAATATTTAGCGAGTCTAGTCTTCTGTGGTTATTGTACCCTGGGGAAATCAAAGATTTGTTGAGCAAAATTAAAGTTCTTTACTGAGAAGTTTGAGTTTTTTTTTTCTTTTGGGGTACAATGAGAAGTTTTTCGCTCACGAGACAGAGGGCCATGCCCTAAAACAAAAGGAAAAACTAGACTATGGGGGATATTAGATCCCAAGCACTCTTGATCAACAAGTGTCCTAAGATAAGTGGGACAGACATCCGGCAAAGGAGAGGAGGATGGTCCCTGTTTAGCCAACGAAGAGGATTATTCCTTCTCCCTTGTTACAAAACCTTGTCAAGTCAAAGTTCCATGGTAGTGGGCTCTAATAAAGCCCGACGTTTAAGTCTTTCATTGGCCCCTTCTTTGTTCCTCTAAAGTGGACCGTCAATTTTATTTGGTAGATGGTCACCTCTAGCTTGCAATGAAAATCAAAGAAGTTGATAACGCGTGTTGCAGAACCGCAGATAGAATACAAGATAGGCAAGATAGGACAAGGAATGATGGGTGCATATTGGCAGTACTCCACTGAAAGGGAATGGGGCAGCAGTAGCAGCAAACCACTCGTCCATGCCATGGAAGCAGAGAGAGAAACAGGGATGCTTGGTCCCTCAAATATCCTTCTCAGCTTCCAATGACATCTCTCAAGTTAATAAGGAGGACTTGCTCGGTCCTTCTTGTTCGTTGTCAGCTGTCATGCTCATTTAGCTTCCACCTATTCATCCCTCCTTTGTGCGCATTATATTACGCGGTCCTTAATTAAAGTTGCTGACTACTCACTAGCACATATTGACACGCATTCCCCCTTAAAAAGTAGATTTCTACCAACTAATTATGACACATGTTTCGTGAAATAATTTCCACCGTCCGATTGGGAACCAATTAAATTTGATTTCTTTTATTTTTTTTAACCCTTTACTATTATCAACACATTTTTTCTGAAAAATATAAAATTGCATCGAAGATTTGCCTTTCGCATAATAAGATATGTAACTTGAATTTCATGTTTAATAACTTTGGTATTGGCGAATAATTAGAACTTCGTGCTCGTGCCTTTAAAATACTAGCAAGCATCACTCAAAAATAAAAATAGTTAGCATAATTGGCCTTTTCATTTTAAAATAGATTATGAGAATGTTCTGGATGAAAATTTTTATTTGAATTATATTATTTATAATTTATGAATAGCGTAATTGCTTTAATAAATTTTATTTTGTATATTAGTATATTAAATAAAATTGCATAAGTCAAACCCACAGAAGATTCAAAAGCTGAATTTTATTAATCAGGTGACTAAAAAAGCATTTACGCTAATAGATGATCAACCATGTATCAACCTAGATGAATTATAAGCAAAAAGACAAAGTTGAAGTTGAATTTTTGTATTGGCTAATTTCTTCTAACGTTGATAGATGTAAGAGAAAATGACCCATAAGTCCTAGTCAAAAAAAAAAAAGAGTCTCAAAATTTTGTATTTATAAATTAAATTTAACAATTCGAGTCGTGTTAAAAAACAAATTTTCATATTTACAGATTAGGTTCCATTATTTACAAGCAGAATTAATAAAATTTATAAAAAAATTAATTTTCTATATCATCTTTCTCTATTTAATGTTTTAATTGAGATTTACTTGTGAATAATTTCCCGTAACTGCGATTCAACAACTTCGATATCGAAGGGCGGCGGTGACAAACCCGACCCGGCTCTATTTCCCGATCTGAGCATATTCTCCCAAGAAGAATATAAATACCCTTTAGCGCGAAACTCCACTACCCAATAGGACGCCGCCATATGAGCACCTCACGTGATTCTCATCCACGTCAACTTACAAATTCTAAACCGTTGTTAGTCCTTTCTCGTTTCTTCCACTTCTTTGTTCTTCTTGTGGCAAGCGCTGCTCGCGTTCCCAGCATTCACCTATATGATTCAGGACTTCTGAATTCTCAGTTCTACGAGCTCCACGAAAAGCTCTTTCCTTGCGTCCTTACTTCCTAGTTCACGTCCCGCCATGGCCACCCCGAGTCAGACTTCCCCCTCTTCCAGCGCGTTTTCATTCATCTCCAAGGGTTGGCGGGAGGTTCGGGATTCTGCAGACGCCGATCTCCGTTTGATGCGAGACCGAGCCAACTCCTTCAAGAACCTTGCCACCTCTTTCGACCGCGAGCTGGAGAACTTTTTCAATTCTGCTTCCCCGTTTTCCGTTCCGGCCATACGGGCTTCCCCGCAGGCCGAGATTGATTTTGTAAAGAAGTTGCAGCCCAAGCTGTCTGAAATTCGACGGGCCTATTCGTCGCCAGATTTCAGTAAAAAGGTTCTCGAGAAGTGGCGGCCCAGGTCGAGGATTCGGATCGATTTGTCAGCGATAAAGAATGCAATTGTATCCGAGGTTGAGGATGGGGATGAAATTCTCGATTTTGATAGGGGTAGGAGAGCTAGGAGATTGAACTTTAGAGAGTTCTGGGGGGAGTGGAAGCGAGAAGGTGAAGCGGATGGGGAAGGGCAGTCCGCCAGGGATTGGGAGCCAATTCGAGCCTTGAAGACAACGTTTAAAGAGTTTGAGAAACGGAGGTCGTCTGTAGAGATTTTTGATGGATTCAAGAATGGCGAATTTGTGGAGAAACTAAAATCAGGCTTGGTACGTTTCTTCTTGCTTTCTAATTCATTAATTCCCCCCTTAACATTTTTTAGATTGTGCGGTTTCATGGTAAAAGCAAGTGGTTCGGTGTTTCTATGCGTACTTTAAGCTGAAACTGCTATTAGTTGCTTTCTTGTTAAAGATAACTTGATATTATCTTGGCAAGTGCCACCTTTAAGGGAGAACAAAGCTTTCCAGAACCAGTTTTGAGGCTTTCATTATCCTAACTTGACATGTGTCAAGTAAACTCTATAGCTACATACGCGCACCCACACACCCATTTTGGTGCTGATTTGTGGCCCAATTCCGCAACTAAGCTTTTATATACGATGCAGCATCAGACTATTCGCATTCTGCTTTCACATTGTTTTCAATGGCAGGCCTATAAATTAGTCCCAATTTAAGTTGCAACCAACGATACAATTGCTGTCTTTTTTATGCTCGTTGCATAAGTGTTTGCATTCTATTAAGAAATCAGGTGATAAGCTCATGTGTGTGGTAAACTTTTATTAAATCTTCTTTTTCAGTAGTTTGTATTTTAAAGTGACTATGTGGACGTTTCACATTGGAGCATAAATTTTATCAATACTTGTATTCTAAGATATCATTTCTTCATTTCTTGCAGAAATCAATGTGCATGGAGCCTCAAGATTCAAAGGTGTGTGCCAATTTTCTTTAGTTACCTTTGGTTTTATAAACTTGCCTGCTGCATATTATCCACTTCATCGCTGTAAAGAAACAAAGTTTGTCAATGGGAGGCTCTAACTTCTGTACGTTAGACCATTGTGTATTGTAAGTCTTTTGATCAATACTATAAGGGAGAAATGAGGGGTACGTTGTGGTTAAACGTAATTTTGCATGCTTCATTAGCTTTCCTGTAAATTGATTCTTGTATTTCTGCACCTCAGCCCATGCTTTAGATCAAGTACCATGTTTTATATTTTTCCCTTTAACATTTGTTGCAGGAAGTGCCGCCATTGGATGTGCCTGAACTTTTGGCCAGTTTTGTCAGGCAATCTGAGCCATTTTTGGATCAACTTGGAGTCAGAAGAGGTACAGAATTTACGTGGGAATTATTTGTCAGGTTTTATCCAGCTTTATACGTGTTCAATGGAAATTGTATTACTTTACTATGTAGCGGTCAGCTGTTCCTTGTTTCTTTCATCTCATGTAGGGTTCACTTTATCCTTTTGTGAGTTTTGATAGTTTGTTCAAATGCGATTGCAGAGATATGTGACAAGATAGTGGAAAGCTTGTATAGCAAACGCAAAAACCAACTTTTCCTGCAGTCCCTATCTGGGGAAGAATCTTCTGCTCTTGGGAATGAAAATATAAATGATGAATTGGATTTGCGAATAGCAAGCGTCCTTCAGAGCACAGGGCACCGATATGATGGTGGGCTCTGGACAGAACATGCAAAGCATGACCCATCAGGCACCGAAAGACATGTTGCAATAGTTACAACTGCTAGTCTTCCTTGGATGACAGGAACAGCTGTGAATCCACTATTTCGAGCAGCATATCTATCACAATCTGCAAAGCAAAAAGTTACTTTACTGGTTCCGTGGCTTTGTAAGTCAGATCAAGAACTAGTTTATCCTGGCAATCTCACTTTTAGTTCACCAGAAGAACAGGAAGTTTATATACGGAACTGGCTTGAGGAAAGGATTGGTTTCAAGCCAGACTTTAAAGTTTCCTTTTATCCTGGGAAGGTAATTCTTTTATGAAGTTAGCAATATGCTACCTTGTATCAAATTTAAATTATAGTCGATTCTGAGGTATTTGTCCTTCTTGTGTTTAGTTTTCAAAAGCAAGACGTAGTATTATACCTGCTGGAGACACTTCTCAGTTCATACCATCTAAGGAAGCGGACATCGCTATACTGGAAGAACCTGAACATTTGAATTGGTACCATCATGGTAGGCGTTGGACAGACAAATTCAATCATGTTGTTGGTATTGTCCACACAAATTACTTGGAATACATCAAGAGAGAGAAAAATGGGGCCCTCCAAGCGTTCCTTGTGAAACACATAAACAACTGGGTGACAAGAGCATACTGCAACAAGGTATGATTTTTATCCTGAGCACGTAAGCTAGCACTTGTGATAATTCGAAAAAATATAGAGTAATTTTTTTCCCCTTTATTAATGCACATCGGAGTTAGATTGTTATTGGAGAACTTAACAAGACAGAAGGACCTAAGTTGTTCATCTTTATCCAGGTTCTTCGTCTTTCAGCTGCCACTCAGGATTTACCCAAGTCTGAAATTTGTAATGTTCATGGTGTGAATCCCAAGTTTCTGAAAATTGGGGAGAAGATCGCTGCAGAGAGGGAGCTTGGGCAGAAAGCCTTTACAAAAGGAGCATATTTCTTGGGAAAGATGGTATGGGCGAAGGGATATAAGGAACTGATAGACTTATTAGCGAAGCATAAGAGCGACCTTGATGGATTCAAGTTGGATGTATTTGGAAATGGAGAGGACGCTCATGAAGTTCAGAGTGCAGCTAGAAGATTGGATTTAAATCTCAACTTTCAGAAAGGAAGAGACCATGCGGATGATTCTCTTCATGGGTAAGGATAAATTGAAATGGTTTTTTTTTTTTGGAATGTTAGAATTTATTCACCTGAAAGAACCCTTGCATTATCATAAACCATATGTAAGTTAATTAAGAAAAGTAACTGCTTTTAGTTGCAGCATAGAGTAACTACATTTTATGGAGACTGCAATGTTGAAACTGTTCATGTCTTCAATGCCTCCACCTACGGGATACTGTTTAAGTCAACCAGATACTAGTAATGATCTAGCTTTTTGTTCAATTTGGCTAATCTTTTGACACTTTTTCCTCCTTTCTTGAAGGTACAAAGTCTTTATAAATCCTAGTATTAGTGACGTGCTCTGCACAGCTACAGCTGAGGCGCTTGCCATGGGAAAATTTGTGGTGTGTGCTGATCATCCATCAAACCAGTTCTTTATGTCATTCCCAAATTGTTTGACTTACAAGACACCTGAAGACTTTGTGGCAAAAGTAAAAGAAGCTTTGGCCAACGAACCCCATCCTCTCACCCCTGAGCAAAGATATCAGCTTTCGTGGGAAGCTGCTACTCAAAGATTCATGCAATATTCTGAGCTTGACAAAGTCTTTAAAGGGGAAAAGGAAGGTGGAAAGGCTGTTGCAAGGTCCGCATCAATGCCTAATCTGACGGAACTAGTAGATGGAGGCCTGGCTTTTGCTCACTATTGCTTCACTGGTAATGAATTCCTGAGGCTTTGTACTGGAGCAATACCTGGTACACGTGACTATGACAAGCAGCACTGTAAAGACCTTCATCTCTTGCCCCCTCAGGTAGAAAATCCTATCTATGGCTGGTAAATAGACTAGTAGTTAGTGGAGCAATTTCTGGGACTTAGGATATTATCAGCACTGCAAGAACAATCTCTTGACTTAGTGAATGCTGAATAGAATAGCAAATAGATTTACCAGGTTGAATTCGTAACGTTAACTATAATAATAGTTAGTGGTTGTAATTAGTTGTAATTAGGATCTTTCATGCGATCACTCCTAAGTTTATGCAGCTTATTTGTCATACACATCCGGAATGCCAAAATTTCAGTTTTCCCTTGTGACATGTTTTCCCTCCTTGTAAAGTGAGTAAAATTCTATGGATAAGCATCCGTTTGACGAAAATGCAACAAACATCACATGTACTGAGGATGTTGAAGGTTTGAATAAACCAATTACATTAGTTAAATATGTTGTGTGTGTTTTGCTAGCAAACCCCCCCCCCCCCCCAATTTTCCCATTCAGTTGAAGCACGGTCCTCGTCATTGTCTGTAACCTTCAAGAAGATTTCAGCTTTGTTGCTGTCCTGAATTAACAATATTTACTGTGTTGGAGACATAAAACTGGTAGCTATTCGTAAATACAGTTCAAATCTCCCGAGAAAGACTAGCTAAGGCATCTTATCATTGAATGTGAGTTATCGTAACGAATGATCACAAGGCATTTAAAGAGGACCTTACGTAAAATATATCAAAGAACTCATCCCATGCACAGTATTTTTTTTTGCCCAAAAGAAAAGAAAAATTAGACAAACATAGAAATCATAGTATGATCGTCCATGTGTAATCTTCACAAGTATAGGCGTCACAAATTCAATCGTATGACAGATCACAGAATCAAGTGTTTTTGAATATGATTGTTTGGCCCTTTTCTGTGAACAAAATACATCTAACCAGTCTGATGAAGCACTGGGATTCAAAGAGCTTCTACGCCATCCTTCACAAATTAGACCATCTCCCCCGGGGGCCTTATGTCCATTACTCCATTTTATACGATGATGGGTGCCCACGCCCAGGCTCATCTAATCTGCTATCCTACCTTCTTTTGCAAAAAGAGAGAGGGAGAGAGTGTGGCGGAGAAAAGCGACGAAACATATATAAAACTGATAAGCAGCTCAAAAGAAGTGCTCGTAAATTCTCCTTTCCGGATCAAGGTTTAGACAACGTTTGAAACAATAAAAATTTTAAATATCTGAAAAGTTCTGATCTGCAATATATCCTACGTGAGACGGGTATAAATTTTCCCTTTAAACTATGGTGTCACATGCCATCCTGCTTCCCATTTCGTGCGTGCGGTATTAATTAATAGCCACGTGATTCCCATGAAAGACCGGTAAGTGGTATCCCTCCAACTAGGTTAATGTTTGAAGACGAAGATAGAAAACATAGCGCTCACCGTGTGTAGGATCTGGAATGTCTTTTAGTTGCAACTTGTTGTAACTAATTTGATTAAGCCCATGCTTACTTCTGTTCCTATTTATACCATTAACAATATATATATATATATATATATATATGCATCTTGTTAGTTATTGGGGAAATCATAAAATTTGAGAGGAAATAGAGGGAGCCTATGGGTGCAGGCACTTGAAGAATATCTCCACTGAGGAAAACTGTTGTTGAGAACAACACGTGTATGTAAACTGAAAAAAAATCAAATGTAGTTCAGCGCATGCAAATTTATCCATTGGAGTGAAAAAGGAACAAGGAGGGAAACTGATGATCATGACTTTAATATCAAAAAGCATGCATATTGCTGATGGCGTAAAAAAATTGCATATTTTGTACTGCTTCCTTTGATTTTGTTCGCACCGTTCTTCTTGGGGAGAGTCCGTGCTTGTGAACTTGTATATTTTTCTAATTAATCCCAGATTAAGAGTGAAGGGCTGGGCAATTTTCTACTTCAAAAGACATTCGAAGAAGCTTTCCCAATTAATTTGGACTCTTCTTCGGGCAGCAAAAGGAACAATGTATGTAGACACTGAAGTCAAGCTAATGCTAACAATGAGCGTCTTTTTCTAAAGACTTCTGAATTCTGATTGTTCGATGCATAAGATCCTTTCTGCTATTTTTTTAAATTGAGATCCTAGTGATTTGGCAGCTGTCGAATGTTCAGCTTTTAGTTCAAGGCTCTGCCTTGGACTATGGGATAGTAGCCACTCACTGCTTATCTCAGTTATTGGAAGACAGAGTACACAGAAGCATACTTTTTAACCCAAAGAAAAAGCAGAAGTATACAACTATTTTTAATTTTTTTGTTGGCATACCTTGTGTTTATTTAAACACACCAACGAAATTGTTTATCCTTGCTCTTTATTGTATTTATTGTATATATGAAGTCCCTCTTTCTCTTGCAAGAATATAGTTATCAGATATTTTGTTACTAAACAGACAAATGGATACTAACTGAAAAATGTTTTTATGCGGGGAAAAAAATTGAATTTGATTGTAATGATCTGATAAAAAATTGCAATTAGGGAGTCAGGGAACAGATCATCTGTTTTAGTTGACCATGAAATGTGTGAAAGAAAAATAAAGATCGAGCTATGTATAACATTAATATACGTATGAATTCAAAATAACTCACGTCTTTTAGGTGCATATGCATATGCATGCCACCCTCTTTTGTTTCACCTTTAAGATTTCCTGTAATTATAAGTATATGCTGACTGCTATTTTGTTGGGAATTGGACTTCAATTGCATATACTAAGAAAAGTCAAGTGCTAGAAGTCTCAAATGCTTTGGCTGAATATTCCATTCTCACTGTGGAGGATATATATATATATATATATATGTATTTATATATATAAAGCATATGGTTTCTTCGAATTGTGCTGTCAAACCTATGTCTCAATATTATATATTGCAGACAGCTGCATTTCTTGGTCATAACTGCCGCAGTTATAAAATCATGAAGACTGACTCTAGTAAGTCAAGAGTGTTGTATTCTTGAACCTTTCTTTAGTAGAGTAATGTTTTTCATTTTTCAATAGTTACGCTAATCTTTGTTGATATACTCCTCCGGTCCTTATTATAAGACCCCATTTGACTTTTTATTTGGTCCTAATTATAAGACCCCAATCCATTTTGTCTCTTATATTTATGTATTTTTTTCCAAGATAATCCTTCTAATAATGATAGTTTTAGCCAATATACTTAATTAGCAAGGATATTTTAGGAATGACAACACTTATTTATTATAAATAACCAACTTAACTTACTTCCTTAATCTCCTCAAATAAGTCAATTGGGTCTTATAATTAGGACCGGAGGAGTATATATTACTCTTCCAATTCTAAATATAAGACTTTTATATACACTAGTATAAAGGTCTGATATTATGAGTGTTTAGTTTAGAAAAGCATCTCCCTACTACTACGAGGTAGGAGTGATTCTTGGTCATAAGCTACAAGTAGTGCCAACTGTTCATAGACCTATAATACGTATCAATCGTTGTATCATTAAACTAATTTTCAGTTTTTATAAATATATTCAGCGTCATATGTACGTTAATCATCCATTAATTTCATTGAAGCTCAGGGTATAAGCTTTCAAGCATCTTCAGGGAAAAGCAAATTGCCCGTGTCACTTCTATTTTGGCTTCTTCATTTTTGCGCACTTTCTTTTATTATTCGGATACTCCCTCCGGTCCTTAATATAAGAGTTTGTTTGACTTTTATTTTGGTCCTAAATATAAGTCCCCAATCTACTTTATCTCTTATATTTATCTTTTTTTTAAATAGTTCTTGTAATAATAGTAATTTAAAAATACACACTTAGTTAACAAGATATTTTAGGAAAGATAATACTTATTTATTACAAATAACTAAATTAGTTTTCTTAATCTATTTAAATTAGTCAACTAACTCTTATATTAAGGACCGAAGGTAGTATATCGGAGTCATGGGAGCGAGAAGCACCAAATGTGGCTCAGACGCTTTGCTAGTTTAATTTAATTTCCCTAAGTTATTTTCTTTAATATCCCACATACAACAATATTATCTAAAAGATGAGGTCAGAGACTACATTTTAATACTCAACCTGGAGAAAAACTGTTGAGTAAGCGACTTACTAGCTGGCCTCTCTCAAATTAGCAGTAACGGATAACAAGTAAATTTAAAATCAATCTATTTACAAGATGCAATTTCCTTCCCAGTGTCTGAACCTTGGATGGTAATAATTTCAATATGATCTGCATTACCACCGTCTGCGACAGGATTGATAACACCTCGATGAAGTAAGTGTGGCTTCTCCGGCGAGACATTGGGCTCCACTTTGTCGAAATGAGCCAAGTTGGAGAGTTCAGAGACAGCTTCATATATTTCCTCCACTGTCCTTGTGATTTCTACGAGTATGGATGCCACCGTGGCAAGTGGAACTATTGCTAAGACGTCTATGTCCTCTAACGAGGCAGTTTGGACTGCGATTTCGAGGTCTTTAACTGCGGTTTTAGAATTCTCCAGGTGGGGTTTTACTTCACAAGGCTCTTTCATTGTTTTAATGGACAAAGATAATGCTTTCAGTGCGATGCTTGATTCAGAAGTCATCTTCGTGCATGATTCTTGAACTTTCCTATTAAATTCTAAAGACACCTGCAGCAAGCAAAATCCATATAATATTAAGAAAAGTAGGTGTAGGAGAAGTGGGTTACAAACTGTTCGATTTATATCTATAAACTATGAGTAAGTGGGTTACTTGGATTTCAGTGCTAAGGTAACCGCTGAGAGCTTCCATCTTGTAAGCACAGTTCCGAGAAAGTGCTCCAATCTTGAGGTATTGTTTCCAAGGGTGACGAAAACGAAATCGGCCATGTCCCGGTTCCCACCTGGCTAGATTTGCCTGTTGATATTGTGGAAATTATATAAGATCCTGAGAAGTGACGAGAATGCAGAGCAAAACAAAATCTCGAAAAGAAGAGACACTTTTCAATGCTCACCAAGGACTCTTCACTTGCTTTGGAATTCAGAACACTCTTATATCCTTCAAGTTTTGATTTTTCAGGTTTTGCTTTATCCTCTGAGCGCTGAAAATATTCAGCGTCGAAACCTGAAAATTAACGACGCCAGGAGTTAAATTAGAAAGACGCGACGTGTCCGCATGCAACAACATGAAGTAAATAAATCTTATAAATATCAGTATATATTTACCTTCGAGGTAATTAGCTAGCTTTTCAATGTTGGAAGCGACCAACTTGTGAAGGTCTTCGCCTGCCCAAACTGGGCAGACGAATAAGGATATTATCATGCACGTTGCTCCCCCAATTATAATGGTTGAGAACCTTTGATGAGCAACCTCGAAGAGTTTCTCTATTCTGTACCCTGATACTGCGACCAGACTGAATGTTAATATAAATATCACCATTCCATAATCATATCTTGCCTTTATCTTTGGGAAAAACCTCGAAAATGTAGAGCCTGCCGCTGCATTCACATAAAAACGAACAATTTAGCCCCACAGATCTATTCGTTTCAAACACATTCACGACCATTCATCTCTTTTATTTACCCAGAATGAAGACGAGGGTCCCGAGTACAACAGGCTCTCCTTTTTCTCCAAATAAATTAGCCAAGTGTTGACTTCCAAATCCTAGAGCTCCTGCAACTAATGTTGCACATCCCCTATTTATGCCTTTACTAATGGTCGCACCTGAACATCGGAAACAATACAAGCATATTACATAATTCAGACATATACATTTGTCCGTGATATGATAAAAATACATGAGTTTTGTGATTATCCGTATGAACCTACCTACGGTGAATTCAAACACGACAACGACAGTGAGGACAGCCCACATTCCTGCAACACCAAAGCCATCATAAAGAGGCCTCCAGTAGTATATGAGAGAGACTAGTGTGAGAGCTAATCCTACTTTTAGAGAGTGAATGATTCTCCTTGGATCATCTTTTCCAATCTTCTTTATGCCCTCCGCGAAGCTGATCACTTTGGACTTGGACTTGTGGGGCAAATCCTTGAGGCAGTTCCACCAACCTCCTTCTTTCACTTGTGTTCCTGACTCAATTCCCATGGCTCTTATAAGCTAAGGCTAACCAAACCAGAGAAGAAGAGCTATTTGATAGATAGATCGAGGCTTGAGGTTGTGGAAGGAAGTTTGCTTCCGAAGGACATATATAGGGTACAAAAATTCGGTCATCTGATGCAACTCGAAGAATACACTTTTTTTCAATTTCTTTTATGATGAGGTGCGCATCGGTTGCTGCTTCTAGTGTTGAACAGGAGATAATAAATTATTCTGATCAGAGAATCTCGTGACTCTCTAATAGTTCATCCACCAAATGCCTCGGCTTTTAGAGCAATAATCAATAAAACAGAAATTGTAATAAAATTGTACAGTACACTATTGCCTCAAAAAGAAACTAAAATTGCATAGTGACCACTAATGTGACGAGTCTAGTAAAGATTATTCATAATAAATGTACGTGCTGACTTGAAGAATTCATTGCTGATCTACATGCGCTTCACTCATCTATAGAATTTGATTAGTGAAACAATTGGTTCAACGTGTTGCCATGGCTGGCTGGCAAGCTGGGTTTATTTTCTGATCAAAAAATATTTTTCAGAGCAGGCCTGCAAATTAATGAGAAAACGAATGAGATGACGGTGACGGTGAGTCACTCTTCATTTCTTGGGCTCAATGAAAAGGTTTAACTAGTGAACACCTTTAGTTTGCATGCAAGCCACCCACTTAAAAATTCCAAATTAATTAATATACTAGTATATTCTTTAACTCGTCGAATATATAATCAGATCAATAAGTGAGAACGTAACTTCGTTGAATTAGGTCATCACCAACCAAAATAAGACAGCTGGAATAAAAAATAGGACTAGTTAATTAACAGTGTGCGATTACATATTTCAGCCTTTCTGAAGCCTTAAAAATTTTAATTCATGAAAGTTTCGATTCCTATTCTATCCTTTTTGACACTGCTTAGCCCTGATAAAGTATGTTGCATCCACAGTAATACTTGAAAATTTTAACAAACTACTTAGGTTTTATATTGTACGGAGAAATAGTTAAGTTGCTAAAACGAGAACCCTAGAATAAAATAAATGTTGAATGTGGAGGACAGGCTTACGTCGTCAGATGAGACATGCTTACAAAAGATACCTAGAGATCTATGTCTATTGCTCGTTTAACCACAAATCCATATATTACAGCTATTTCTATATGTATGTGTGTTTAAGGGGATTTTTGGTGCCAAATATTCATGTGACTCATCTCTGAAACTTCATGCGATGCATGGAAACACACACACACACACACACTTGATTAATTACATAAAACTGCATGCAATTATAATCCTGTAAGGATTCATAAAATTATATACATTGGGTTTTCAAATATTAATAGTACAAGTCGCTCTTGATCATTAAGTCGGAAAAAGATTATGCAACTCATTACTTATCCTGAGATTTTTTTTTTTAAAAAAAAATTAACTGGTGACAAGTGGACGGCGTCACCATAGCGTGTGGCCTATAATAAAATCGAACAAATGTTTCATGTACTATCGTATTATGTTATCATAATCTACAGATCAGAGCAAGTGACTTAAAATAAGATTCACCTGATTTTTATGTGTACGTCTCTCTCTATCAAGAAGACTCCATTTAATTATTTTAATATCCACATTCATCTTAGAAATTAATATAAACTTAGCAATTATCATTAATAATTTATTGAACAGTCAATCAATATCGGGCTTACTTATTCAACAGGGATTCGTTCGTGCTTATTATAAGGATGTCAGCGTGACTTTAATTAATAATTTAAATTTAGAAATGATAATTATATTAAATTGACGGGTGCTTTCTGCTGTAGGCACTAACTCGCACATAATAGGAGCTTTACAGCTTGTAAGTCACTAACCCAAAATTAGAACACAGAAAAAAGAAAAAAAAACAATTGTGTCTCAGACTCTATGGTGATTGTCAGTAATTTAAGACAAATTGACATAAGTAATGGGACTTCCATTAAGCAAATTATAAAATTCAACAAAACAAATAAATTAATATATATTATCATGTCCAGGTTTCGCCCAATACCGTCTTCCAATTTGATCATCTCCTTTCTATATTTATTTATCAATATGCCTTAATGCCCTATATCTTTATGTAAACGCCCCACGTCCTCCCAATATATACAGTGCCTTGAAGACGATATATAGATGGTGCTCTACCTAATATCTTTATCTCCTAAGTCCTGGAATAATTTATTAATATAATAAATGCCTTATAATATTATCAAGTAAGATGTTGTAGCTGCTCCAAAGAAGGGATGTCTATCGTTCTTAACATGCATACGTTAGTGATTATTAATTGTTATCTCTAATTAAAGCAGGTTTCGATCACCACTAGAAAGTTTTTCATCACTTGCATAATATGAAAGTGATATGTCTTGTATGCGCCAGAAAGAAGCTATTATGGCATATATAATTGTCGAAGATTCGGCAAAATAAAAGAGATTGTCCCATAAAATTTTTTTTTTTAAAAAATCAGGTCGGCTATATATATATATATAACATCTAATAAAGTGTTATATTTGTGTTGGTTTAGTTTGAAAGGACGTACGTGTGGTTGTTATGGAATTAACAAGCTGTGACACAAGACATCAATATGGAGGGGCAAAAGTTCCGTACATTTTTGGTATGACCGAATCGGTGATACTTTATTTGTCTGAAAGCAACATTCTGGTAATTAATAATAACGCTTTGATCCTCATTGGGTCACTTCCTTTAGGAATTATGAACTGCATTATATATACTAGGTCAACTTTACATTATAAGCTAAAAGAGCAATGAAATTAACGCTACATCATAATTAACACAATGGGTGGACGTACGGAAGACACAAACCGTTAATCAACAAGTTTAAAATCACTTTATAAAGCTCATATTCCGAACGAATAAATACGTAATCTTTTGGCAAAAAAGGAGTAAATTATCTAAATTAAGTAATTAACAGTATTCTCGGTAATGTGTCAATCATCACTATAATATTTAAGTTCATGTCCTATTAAAGAGTGTGTTTAATATGAAGGTTTTTATATATATATATATATATATATATATATCGCTATCTAATTGAGTTAGATTCGAACATTATCTGACCCCATTGGAGGCAACTCTTCTAAAAACGTTGTCTACATTTGTACGAACTCAAACTCGTGATTTTGTGCATAAACTGTCAAAACTCTTTTTACTGGGATCGACACTTAATAATAATATGAAGACTTTATTGATGAATAATCTGGTCTCTCGGTGACTAAAAATTATCATATAAACAAAGTTTTGGGCTGATGTTTTTCATGTAAAACCGGAAGGTAAAGTTCAAAGTTTTGGGCTGACCATGTTTTCATGTAAAACCAGAATGGAAAGCTCAAAAAGAAGAAAGGTGACCTCTAAGAACTGGATTTAGACCCAAAAAAGGACGAGGAGAACTTTTCCTTTAACGGGCTGATCATGGGCCGGCATTGTCGTTGGGCCAGGAAGCCCTTCTTAACCTCAATCAGCCCACGGGGCGAAATCTTGCGTCGGCTTTCAAGATGACTAGTCCCTGGTGTAAACCTGTTGCTACCTGCTAATAAACACAAGAAGATAATAAATCTATGATTTAATCATCAGTAATGAACTAATGCTATAAAAATTATATATAATCTTTTGTTTTCATAATTTTGGCGAGTAAACCAAGGACAGTTTCTTTTCCAAGTAAAGCATGAAAATAGGACAAGAGGGATGATCCTTTCCTTGTTTGAATGAAACTGCGTTTAGTCAGCATTGAGGAAAGAAGCAATGATTATTCTAAAGAGATAGAGCGTGTAGTGATTTTCATCATTGCTCCCCTATATATTTCCAAAAGCACAAAGGAGATCAACTCAAGCTAGCTTGTGCCCTCTAAAATACACTGAGCTGGACCGCTTTAACAGATGACAGATATATGGAGAAGCGAAATTTCTTGCCAAAGTTACTCTATTTTCAGGGCAAAGTGAAAAATGGCTGTATTTTTAATGGATACTAGATGGTATATATAACCATACGCGTCAAGTTCCAAAGGAGTCGCAGTAGCTAGCTAGGCAGCATCCCTATGTCCAAAAAGCAGCCACAGAAAGATCATATTATGGAGTAGGGACTTGGCGGGAAGAATTTTGTGGCCATGGAACTTTTATATAGGATTAGTGGCTGGTCTGGACCACGCCCACAAGTTCTTATGCTTTTGCTTTTGATCACAAAAAAAGCTAAGGAACTGAGAGGGAAAGTACTGCATGCTGCGGTGGAATGAAGGCCCTGATGAGAGATGAGCTTAATTGGAATGCGCACAATTCTTCTGATTTTGGGGTTAGAAATAAAAGAAGTGTGTGTTTGTGTGAATGACATGTAGGATACCACCAGGGCACATATATATGAATATGGGAATCTCATGATTGAACAACAATAAGAAAAATGGTACTCCTCAGGTCCTTATTATAAGACCCCATTTGACTTTTTATTTGGTCCTAATTATAAGACCCCAATCTATTTTGTCTCTTATATTTATGCATTTTCCCAAGATAATCCTTCTAATAATGATAGTTTTAGCCAATATACTTAATTAGCAAGGATATTTTAAGAATGACAACACTTGTTTATTATAAATAACCAACTTAACTTACTTCATTAATCTCCTCAAATAAGTCAATTGGGTCTTATAATTAGGACCGGAGGAGTACATAAAATAAAGCAGCAATGGAAAGGACCCATATCTCCTTTCCATTACTATTTCTTCATTCAGTAACTTCCCCATTGGCCCCAACCACTCCCTCAGTTTTTCGGTCTTTCTCAATCACACACATTCTCTTCTTTTTCTGTATTGCTCTCGTACCAAACTCCTTCCAGCCATCGAAAGTTCAAAAACAGACCAAACACACACACACACACACATTAAAAGTAAACTAGTGCTTTATCACCCAAGATGATCCTACCTTCCTTTTCCATATCAAACTTAGTTATAAGTAGGCGTATTTCAGCTTACATT